CCTGTAGTACCAGCTACTTGGGAGGCTGAGGCAAGAGGATCACTTGAGCCCAAGAGTTTGAGGTTGCCATGAGCTTGACACCATGGCACTCTACCCAGGGTGACAAAATTAAACTCTTGTCTCAAAAAAAAAAAAAAAGGAAAAAGAAAAGAAAAGAAAAAAGTCTCAAGTGCTGGTATTTGACTTCCTAAATGAGTTCAGTTCAAGCAGAGAGCTGGCCAGACATTTTAGATATCAATCAGTCATGAAAAGATCAGTAATTAAAGTCACTATTTCCTTAATAACTGATGTGAGGTATATAGGGAGATTTCTTTTCTTTTCTTTTTTTTTGAGACAGAGTCTCACTATGTTGCCCTCAGTACAGTGCTGTGGCGTCACAGCTCACATCAACCTCAAATTCTGCGCTAAAGTGATTCTCTGGCCTCAGCCTCCCAGGTAGCTGGGAGTACAGATGGGGAGATTTCTTTGAATGAGGCTATCCTTGCAAATGAAAGTGATTTCTTCATCTCATAAGCCATTTAAAAATTGGTTCTTTTCATTTTCTCAGGGAGCAAAGAGATGGTCCGAGTGATGCGGAAGAAGGGCATTGAGCATCATCCCAATTTTCGCGCAGTTAAACATGTCCCATTTGATCAGTTTATACAGCTGGTCGCCCATGCCGGTTGTATGATTGGGAACAGCAGCTGTGGGGTCCGAGAGGTTGGCGCTTTTGGAACACCTGTGATCAACCTGGGAACACGTCAGATTGGAAGAGAAACAGGTGTGTACCTTTGCTGGTACTTCAACTGACTGTATACATATGTATGAATTATTATAAGTATGCCTGTATCAGTGCTGAGCATACATTTTTGTGAACAAGTGGGCAATAAGGTTAATGACCAATTATAGCCTAAAATCTATAAATAGTCTATAAATAGCACACAGGGATTACCAAATTTTTTAGAGCTCTGCTTACATTTTTTTTGTCTTTGTGATATCCATTAGTGCTAAGAGGTTCTTAGTTAATTGCAGTATTTGATGGCTATGTTTAAGAGGGAATGTGTCATAAGTATAAGAAGGCTAGTCTCTGAGTCTAGAATAGAGTTCCTTCAGTCAGTACTATAGAGTATGGCAATTCTATTACATGTTATGAATTGTTTTTTTCTTTCTTTCTTTTTTTTTTT